CTGACATCAGAAAGTGCTGTTGGGTGTAGAACTGCTGCTATTGTCCTATGCTGTGTGCGTTTGGCTGTTTATTTATTGTGTTTGGTGCATTACTTAGGTTAACACCAAATTTAGTTATCTAAATATTTATGGTGCACTTTAGGGGTGAAAAATTGATTCACTGATGCATCCTGATTTTTTTTATTGAACTATTCTAGATCGATCTACAAAAATGCATCAGACATTTACATTAATTATATGCAAAGCTATTCAGCGAATTGCTCTAATTACAAAGAATGCATGTTTACCATCAAGAATGAGATCATTTGTAATCTGGATCTGCACAGGTTGATTTTATTCTTATTCTGCAGTTTTTCTTCTTTTTAGACACATTGCTGTCTTTGGCTTGAGCAGACCAGGGCTGCATTTTCACAGGTAAGAAGTTCAGTACTTCCCATTTTAATGTGATTATCATGTGCAAAAGAGATAATTTAATATCTTGTAAACACTGAATGGATTCGAAGGGCATTTGACTCCAGTTTTCTTTGCTTTATTGTTTAGAAAAAGAAGCTCTGCTGGGTGTCACACTCGTGTGTTATTTACTCGTCATAAATAAATCAAACACACAGTCAGCATCAGCGAATCATTTTGGGGCAAAACCAGCCCTCTGTAATCAGTGCATTCTGGAAAGCCTATACGGTGTCTGTTCTGGTTTCAGTACAGGACATTGATTTGATGATTTGATATGAAGATCTGCTCACCTGGCACAATCTCAAAAAGCTGTCGGCCGGGTTCTTCTGGGTTGGCTGTCAGTTCATTCACTTGGCTGCCCTTCAATGAGATGCAGCCCTGCACAGACGAACAGTTAGAAATGCATCACGTAACCTTTACTGACCTATTAAATCAATCAGACATGCAAACTTGAATGTAATTCTTCAATCAAGTCTCATAGTCTTCTGGAAATGTGTTACCAGGGAGTCTATTGTACAATCAAAAGCTTGAACATGTGGTGGTTTGCCATGCTACACATTTTCTGAGTGCCTCCTTAGATTAGATACACTGTGAACTGAATGAAGTTCAGAGATTATTATACAACAAAATGAATGAAGATTTGGGAGCTGAATCCGTTTGGCAGTACTCAAGACACTTGCCTTTAACTGGTTGTTGTTTTTTAGAATATTTTTAATGGACCCCCCCCCCCCCAAGGCACATTAAGTTACTTTACT